AACCTGCCTTCTGGACGGCGTCGAATAGCATGCTTGCACGCGTTCCCGACGCAAGCTATCTGCCTGGCCAAAAACTTCAAGGCCGACCCAGTTAATGAACGCTCTCTCTCTCTCTGTCTATTGGCCTGACTGTTGTCAAACCACCACTTGGAGTCAACTGGCTTTTCCGGCCGGTTGTATTCTCTCCAAATCAAATCTCTTCCCATCTATTCTTCGTTCCTCTGTGTACACAATATAATGTTCCTACTACTCTGGCCTTTATCGACTTCTTCTCAATTAAGTAACCATGGTCTGGAGATCGTTCTTGCTTGGGTTTAACTCACTTAACTCCCTGCGATACGTTCACTTATCTTTCTCTTAATAAAACTGAACGTAGCACACCCACGATGGAAAGAGGATGGCACAGCTTTAAGTGGAAATCCCCCGTGTAACTAAAGAATGATCTACCGCTTGCCAAATGCGCTAGGGCTAGAGTGGAGTCTAGGGCTGCCAATATAGTAAAACACGTATAAGCTAAAAGCCCCAACACGTCTATTAGTGAGATTCTGCTACTGTATGCAAAAGGTGCGAGGGGCTCGGCTGATAAGTGGCCACTTATCTTCTCCTATATGCTTCCTGGTACATAATCCAGTCTGTAAATTACATTTTCTCAACCTGTTCAAACGGACGCTTAGGCTGATGTAGACGGTTGTACATGTGCATATATTTGCGATGTGGAGTTTGAATTTCGTAGGTCTCTGCGACAGAGAAGTCATCCGTAAATGGTTGCTAGTGGTCTGGCTGGTGTGGGTCGAACACCAACCGCAGTGCTAGCTGCTACCGTGTGGTCTAAAGGATGAAAGGGTCAGCCAAACCGTTAGGCATTCAAGCACGGGCATTCGCAGAATGCATTTGCAGCCACAGCCTCCAGAAGAAATAACAGCTTAGAAGTTGATCTACTCCGACACTTGTCGCAACGCTACACCCGCCAGAACTACTTACACGTGCGAGCAAGTATCAGTCTGCTTCTCGGTCAGCCACGGCTTTCCAACCCAACCTGCCATTGTCAAGGTCGACCCAGGAATGCTCTCGCTCAAGACGCAGTGACTGCTCTCCCATTCTCACGCATACACCTTCCTCACAACTCCGAGCATATTTTTCAATCGATTGTCCAACTGCTATCTAGAGGGTGCAGTACTTTATCAAATGGTGCCCTCTTCCCTCTCCTGCTATTCGTTATGAGGCCTGAAGGTGACGGCTACATTAAGAGCTCACAACAGGTTATATAAGAAATCATTCCCATCATCGTCTACTTTTATACGCTCCACTTTTTTATTTTGTTTTCTTTCCCCCAATATCCTTCACCCATTTAACCCCTTTTACCACGGTACAGAAGAATGGGATTTTCGCGTGCTTTAGTGAGCTTTAATTGTAACTTTTACCGGTCTGAAAGTTGCAGACGTTAGGGTCATGTTAGTGGTTTAAGTTTTTACTACTTTTGACTTTCCGGAATATATACGACTGCAAGGTGTGGGAATACCCTTCGGTGAAGGCCAGGTTTGAACCGTGTTGGTTTATCTGCTAAAGAACGAACACTTGCATCGCCCTGTGGTAAACTGCAGTGACAAAACCCCGAAACGTTTGAAAATACTTCGGCTGCCGATGTGGCCTTGCAGATAGTTTCGACATAGCCACCGTTTTGGAATCAAAATACATATAAGGATGAACCCAAGCGGCTGTTGTAGTCCCATTGGCAATAAAAACACAAACTGATTAGAACGATATATTATAAAGCATAATGTGGGCTGTAGACTGGTGAACAATAAGCTATCCATGTTTGGTATCTTGTTCCTTTGTACCGCTGTGCAGCTGGAAACACAGTTGTGCAAGTGTTCACTTCGCTCCGACTGCATCCATCTTTTTGGCGTGTCCGACATCAGGGTGCTGCGACATCTGAGCGAGTCGTAAAGGCTCTTTCACCTATTTGCCCCGTCGGATTTTCCGTCATTTTATTTCGACTGTCACTGGGAATTTCAAACGGATTTAACTAATGAATGCACTCGTTAGCGTTTAAGTTAATACAGTTGTCTTCACTATGCTTTTCCTGACTGAGATTTTGTTCAGGTGTCAGTCAATCAGGACATGCTAGGTAGAGGACGCCGTTGGATGTAACTAAGGCGCCTTGGTCAGAAGACTTGATAATCTGATATTGCCCTATTCCGTTTCTGGTTGTATTTTGCCCTGCGTAGTAACTGGTGACATATAATCACAGGGCGCAATGGCCTCCACGTGCGTCAAGTTTACATTGGCATTCTACGGCGTCTGTCGCCTACACTTATGTTAGCTATGTTTCAGGATATCTCCGAGAACTCTTGTGCACGTGGCATCAAGTGTCTTCTTTGATGCTCGGATTTCGTCCTCATAAGGGACCATTACATTCACGCGATGTGTCACCAAGATTACGCAATGGCACTATTTTCATTGCACCATCGTTCTGCTGCCTGCCCGCCGCAACATAAGCTGTATACGTTGATGACATATCATTGTTTGATAATTAAAAATATATTGTCCTGATGCCTTCATATCTACGTGAAGTTTACGTAGGCAGATTTTTGCGCATGGGGCGTTCGCGGTTCTCAATATCTTCCTTCCTCTACTCGTTATCCTCGGACATTTGGCTTCTTCAGGGCTAGTGTTTGGGGGCAAACTCGTGGATCAGATGAAGGTACTCGGGCACCCAGTAAGTCTTCGCGGTTGATGAGCTCGATTAGCTATGTGTTTTCGCATTTCGTGACTGACTAAATTATATTATTACACGTT